ACCGCCCGAAAGCCGAGCGGTTAAAATTTTTAAACAATCATAAAACATTGCCAGTATCGGGAACTTTTTAGAAAATGCTTTAGCATGTTCAGAACTATTCGAAAAGTATTTTAGATAAACCGGAACTGCGACATTTCGTACAGCATATCACCCTATTCTTTTTAAATACTCGGCTTTCGAACGGTACTATTAATTTACAAAAAAATTATACAACATTGCTAGTGTCGGGAACTCTTTAGAAAATGCTTTAGTATTTTCAGAACTATTTGAAAAATATTTTAGATAAACCGGAACTCCGAGATTTCGGAAAACTAGCAGATAATTTTTTCAATAGACTTTTTTTGTCAAAATCAACAGAACTATTCCTAAAAAGTATCAGGAACTATAAAACTCGACTGCATGCGACAAGAACTCTTTTTTATTTTTGATCTGCTAGAAAATGATCTGCTACGGGAAGTTAGCAAATCATTTTTTCGATCAACTGTTTTTGGGGTAAAATCACCAGAACTATTACTAAAAAGTATCAGGAACTGTAGAACTCGACTGCATGCGACAAAAACTCCCTTTTATTTTTAATCTGCTGGAAAATGATATGCCAACTTCACAGACACATTGATCTCATGCACAATAGAATAAAAATCAAGATTTTGTACTACAGTTTCTTTTTTTCCAATTATTAATAATATATGTTTTGACATAATAATTTATACTAAAATTTTATAAATTTTTTGTCGTATAGAAACTTTTGGAGCCGCTTAACTACATTGTTCCATGTACTGAAAAACATAGATGTACCAAATTAACACGTGTTTTCAACTATTGGTTTAAAATATCATCGGATAAACTGCAGCAGATTGACGAAATCGTCAAAATTGCCTACAATGCATGCATCCTGTAAGTTTTTTACAACCCAAATTTTCGACCTTTATAGTCTAATAAAAAAAAACTAATTCAGTAAAAAAAATCTCCCGATGGAAACGAGAAAAACTATCGCAAAACATTGTGTATAAATTTGAAGCAAATCGGTCCAGCCGTTCTCGAGATATTCTGATCACCGTCCGCGAAAAACACATTAACGCCGGCCACGAGAACAGCGCTCCGAGGGAATGAATTCACTTAAAAAAATTTGTGAACGTGCCTCAATGTAGATACTTTTAAATAAAAAAACCCGGATCGAATCGAATTAATAGTTTCCAAGATAAAAATTCCCGAATTTCACCTTTTTTTCTTGCGGTCTATTTATATGTACCCCCTTAATATAATAGTTACATTTGCTTCCTGCATATTGTATTTATTTATGTTAAAATAAAGTGCGCACGAGATAAAAAGTAGGACACAATATTTTACAAAAAAATTAAATTTTATTCTGTTATTTGTACTACAGTTTCTTTTTTTCCAATTATTAATAATATATGTTTTGACATAATAATTTATACTAAAATTTTATAAATTTTTTTTAAATTGCTCTTTTATTAGTTACGACGATATTCAGGATAAAGCCATTTTGCGAGATGGCATTCCCGTAACCCATTCCGTTCATGGGCTTTCCTGCACGATAAGCGCCACCAATTACGTGCAGCTGATCGCTTTTGAAAAAGCTTTTGAATTACATCCCGTTGTAAGTTTTAAAGTATCCACATTACTACATTTCAAGAATTGCAATATTATATCATAGATAGTTGAATTATAGCATTAAATGCTTTTTAACAAGTTTGTCCTCAAGTAATTTAAAAACTTTTAGAAGTAATAAAGACGATGTGTGTGTGTGTATTTAAAAGATACACACATTCTTGAAAAATCTCACGACATGTTTGCAATTAAGCACTTATAAAACTGTATACATATTTCTTTACGATCAGCACTGTATTGATTACAATCAGTACTAATTCGAAGCTCAACAAAATCGCGCCAATATATTAAATTTTGTTAAATACAACATAAATTAAGTTATTTATTTTTATATCTTAATTAACAGGCAGCTAAAATCTTAACTGAACAATTACTGGAATTTCACAGAGGCCAGGGAATGGATATGTATTGGAAGAAGAATTTAAAGTGTCCAACTGACAACGATTACCAGATAATGGCGGAAAGAAGTAAATGTTTATGATTTTGTGATAACTTTTATTATCTGCTGAAACAGAAACTCCATTTTAAAAACTAAATTACATATATAAAATTTGAATATTAATTAATTTTATAGAGGCTGGTTGGCTGATAAAATTAATGACAAAATTAATGAAACTATTTTCCACGTGTGAAATAGACTTATCCTCGTTGCTAAATTTAATGGGGTATTATTATCAGATACATAATGATTATTCCAACTTGTGTATTTGTAGAGTAAGTAATTTGTTTAATTTTCATTATTAATTTGATTAATTTTCTATTATGTGATTTGGGTCTCGGAACCTCTTGAAAGATAAATATAGATTCTCGAATAATGAAAAAAAATCACTGTGACGTGAGCTTCATTTTCTCGACACTGGGGTGTAAAAATCACGAATTTGTTATTATTACAGGATATGAACGATCAAAGTTATTGCGACGATTTAACTGAAGGGAAGTTCAGCTTCCCTATTATACATGCCCTTAAATGCGGTAATAGCCAGAAAATAATGGGTATTTTTTTAGAAAAATAATTATGTTTAATATAATATATATACTTATTTGACGTAGGAAATTATTTATTAAATACGCATTTTTCAGATATTCTAAAACAACGAATTATCGATACCGATCTTAAAAATAATTGTGTGGACTTGTTGGAGGAACTTGGTTCTCTCAAATACACGAGGAACACACTGGAAACACTGGATAAAAAAATAAGAAGAGAAATCGAACGTTTAGGAGGAAATCCAGGTCTAGTAAAGATGCTGGACGAATTCAAGAACGAGGTGTTGTGCGGTACTGCTAAGGTTACAACTAAATTTTAAAACGTCGAATGTTTCGTGCAAAAAATAATGATTAATTTTCGTTTAAAAAATTGTCCGGGCAATCGTATATTTCGTTTTTACAAGATACATTATACCACAGAATAGATTGTTATGTAAAGTTGAACATTTATTTCTCATTGAGATTTAATCTCGCATATTTTCAGATTGTTTGTTAATTTTCTCTTTACATAATTATACATATTGTACAATATAACATTACTAATTGTAAGTATATTAAGTAATTGTAAATCACTTATTTTATTTGTAAGCCTTATTTATCGCTATATGTATCTCTTATTGTAACTTTTTGGCGACAGTATCAATAGTATAATTAAATTTCTTATTTAATATTTTTGCAATACATTTTATTTTTTTTAAATATCAAAAAATGGAGTTTTTTTTTCAGCGTGACTTTTCTATATAAATAAATTCACCGAGTAAAAGACTTTTAGAAAGTATTTATTAGCAATTTTATATACTGACAATTTAATAGCATAACGAATGATCCTTTATAATGAAATTTTACGGCTGTTTTGTACATGTCATGCAATTATACATTATACATTTATATCTATATTTATATATCCTAAAAGACATAACGTATAGAAAATTATACTTATATTATACTTATATTATAGATTATTACATGTAACTAACAAGTGTCTAGCTAAGAAAAATATTCGCGTATATTCATTCCTTCACGTGCACGCATAGAGATAGGATATCTCGCATCGTTTTTCCTATTTCGCAGATTTGTAAATCTATAAATTCAATTTCTCTCTCTCTCTCTCTCTCTCTCTCTCTCATCTTGTCTTTATTCTTAAATTTACCGAATCTCTCATGAGATGACTCCTCCGAAACTCTCTCAATTTACACCATTTTAAAAGGCATTATTCGGCCTCGTACATTTCTCGCATTCGTTCTTGTCGCATATGTAATCGGGTTCAATTGACTCCTCTCTTAATACGCGACGAGATCGAATAGAGGTCCATCGTCTAAGGACTAAGAGAGCGTGGCGATTTGACATGTCCTCTGTTCAAGCTCGCTATCCTCGTCGGATTCGCTGGCCCAGGAGGACCGTCGCTCGTGTCATATCTCACCGTCGCTGTCCCCGGGACAGCGTCCTGGTCCTGACACGCCGTCATCGAGAACTTCCGTCACCTCGTGAAACAGACAGATAATGGGTATTGGGTAAGGGCGAATCAAGAAAAAAGTATATTTCGTAATAAATCGATGCAATAAATATTTCATGAGAGAGAAATCAAGAGATTAACATTAAAATTAATTCACGAACTTTTTGCAAAATTATTTGATCGCCGACCTCAGGAGCACTCACCAGAACTTCCTCGAATCGGTCGTAATTCTCCTGCCTTGAGTTCAAGAGGCTCTCGCCTACCGAGTCGGCCCCCGATTGGCAAGGATCTCGTCGTCCTAGCGCGCTCGATGCAATATGCAGCAAGGACAGTACCGCCAAGAGGCCGGCTGCAAGCACATATATATCTGTCAGGAGCTCACGGAAATAGAGTTGAAAAAGCCGACGTCCTTACCCGCGACATAGGACAGCCAAAGTCTATTGGGTCGCCACGCTAGAATGCAGGACAGTGGTAGGTAAAACAACGCCTTTCGCCAGCCCCGCGTGGCCGCCAGAACGCTGGACCAGCAACGCAAGCAGAGGGAATCCTCGTTCCTGAGAGAACAAAACGTCAACATACGCATATATCGTTTTCTCATAAAAAAAATCCGCGAGATTAAAAGAATTATTTTCTGAAATAACGTTTTAAATAAAGAATTTAACAATTCGATATATCTGAAACCCTTTTTTATCTCTTTTATTCCACTGTTTTTTATTTTAGGATTATTTTAATTTTATTTTAATTGGCTCAATTTATTTTAATTGCATGTTGAGAATTGCATCGATTTAAGATTATATCCTATTTTCCTTGCCAATGTGTATTTGACACATTATAGTTACGGTTCTTCAGAGCGAGCGAGATGTTCCTCAGACAGTTGGTGCAACATCGTAAAAGTATTTACGTGATCGAATTATCTGACGTTCGCGGAACTAGAGGATTTACATGATTTCCATTCGATAAACAAAAACTTTTGCGAGAACGACGTCTTCCGCTGAATGCCGCAGGCGTGCAATCCAGCCTTTAGTCTTGATTATGACCCCATCAATTCCACTTAAGTTTCCTTCTTAAAGAAGCGGAGCGGTAAGACGATTTTTCCATCGATATACAACTTTCAAATACTCTTACCGAGTACCCTCTTTACGGAGATGAACAAACTGAATTCCGAACGGGCAAAAGAGATTAAAATAAAAGTCCGACTTGTCGTACCTGCACCAGTATCCTGCACATTTTACGCTACATTCTTTATATTATATTTTTTTCTAGCCAATGTAATACACGAGAACGTTTGTCTAATTAAAATGTTAACGTACGCAGTGGCAATTGCGTTCGCAATGCAATTTCGCCGCGGTAACTGTATCGAAAAAAAAAAAATTTCCGGGAAGCGATTTGCCCGAGCTTTCGAGATTATCGAGGAAATCTCCGCGCGGAGATAATTATCACGCGCGTTTCAGAGAGCTGCTAATGTACGAAATTAGCCGTCGCGGCAAACGTAAACTCGCCTAATCAGCTCGCGGAAGATTAATATACGTCATTGTGGCGAGGAAAATGGGAAAGCACGACAATCGTCTTTATACGCAGCATGCGGGTCTCGCAGTAGGAACCTACAATAGGAACCTACAATAGGAACCTTCCTGTCCTGAAAAGTGGTCGAGAAAATCGACAAGATCAATTTAAACAGAAAGGTTTGTCTTTGAATATTCCTTCAATAATTAACTCGCTGAAATATTTTTAATTGAATTGCCCTCGATGGAAGGAGACCGAGAGAAGGAGAAGATCTGACGGATCTTCATCCCCGCGCGAACGGATATAAAAGAAGATGTCTCCATTGGAAATCCGCTTTTCTGCAAAGCAATGTTATCTCTCCCTCTCGATCATCTCCGCGTAGATCGGAGTGATCGATCGTTCCGACTGGCAGTTTTAATGGCACCGTCATCGGAGACATAAACTTCCGCGGCAGCATCGATTCCGGACGGATCGCCAAGCTAAGTTACTCGTTAAAACCGTAGACCCTGCAGAACTTCTTTTAATATTTCCTCCCCCTAAGCTGCCGAAGAACGCTGGCGACGTCGTTCCATTGGTCGCCGTCTCACGCTGATCAATATGAGCAACTTAAATCATAAAAACTTGCCGATATAACCCGGCTCAAGACAATCAAGACCAAATTTACCGAAAGGCTTGTTGAAATTTATTAACGTACATTAACTCTATCGGGAGACATAAGACAGAAAATACAGCGGTCGGAGATATCTGAATGAATTAATCGAGGGAAGCGCCCGCAGCACACGCGGGAACGGTATAATCAGCTTGTTAATTAATTATTGTATATATCTCCGCAATTAACTTCAAAGACGCGGGGAAATTTCCATCTTCATTTTGAGCCGTGCGTGACGCATTTATCTGGCTTAAAGATGATTACCCCCGGCGGCGCGGCGCCTCACCGCATCATCCCCTCCGCATCCGCGAAGCGTTATCTAGTTGCCGGTAGTCTACCCGTGCACTTTCCTCGCCGCTCCTCCCGCTCTCGGGAAATGCGGGGAAAACTGGGGCGAACTTCCGACCTGCTTGGTAATTGCCGGGCTGGCTTTGCGCCGCTTCTTTTCCGTGTTATCCTGTTCGGACCTCGAACGGTGTAATTCCCCGGGGCCCTCTCAACCCGCCCGCCCGGCCGTGTCCGCCGAGCATATTGTTCCCGATATACATACACGGACCAATTTCGAGCAATTTGCAAAGTCACAGTACACTCGCGTTTATACGTTCGTACATGAACATTACACCGAGAAGTTTATGTATTAAAACCTGGTCGCTTAATTTTCTCTCTCTCATGTATTTTACAAATACATCGTTATTTTCAATTAGAGAAATTGCCATTTATGATCCGAGCTGGATCTTGGTATATAGCCTAATAATAATATTCTGTGAATTTTGTATACTTTTTTCCAAACTTAGCAAACTGCGCGTCGATTTTTTATCGGTCTTTAACGTTCCTAAAGTACTCACTTAATTTTTTTATTATAATTATATTCAAGCTTAGCCTATTCAAGAGAGAAAGAGAGAGAGAGAGAGAGAGAGAGAGAGAGAGAGGATTCTATATCAATCTAAAGTCATGTTTTATTATTGATCGTTGCAAAAATCACAAAATGTTTTTCTTTTTTAATTTTAAAATGACAAAATATGCAAACGACGAGAAAATAAATGCTGTCAATATACATGTCATAATTTGAAATTCGTCTTTCTCGTTTACGATGCACGTGGAAATATTTCTGTATACATGATAACTTTAAAAAAACACTCCTTTTATCGAGATTCGATAATTTAACGGTCTCTATACTCGACGGTTCGCGTATAGATATAATATCTATTGGATATACGGTCTGTGTCTCGTTACGGGTACACTTGATGCGAGACACCAACGTGTCTCTTGATTAGGCTACCAAGATCTGACTCTACAGCCCGGACCTTAAATGGCAATTTCTCTAATTGATATTGTATATTACATCAGTCCTGCTTCACTCATTACTGTCCATAATTATCTTCTTTCTTATACTGGGTCACAAACAAATTTGTACATGGATTAAGTAAACAGATAAATAAGTGAGAATATATCTTTCTCCAAGTGTTAAAATCCACCGAAGCTACGTTCGTCCAAACGTACCTGACGCAGAGCTGCACGAACAGCGTGATGGCCCAAGTCACCTCCAGGAAGAAGATCACGCCCGACGCCGCCCTGTAATCGAAGACGCGCGAGAATTAGCGGACGAAGCGCTGCGTCCGGGGAGACCGAGTGTGACACAAAAGTTCGCGTCCCGTCGTTGGAACATACGTCGCAAAAGCTCGCTCTGCCCAACGAGGGCATTTCGGATATTTCGAGGGAACAAGAGGGAGAGAACGGCAGCGAGTTTTACAGTCCGTACAAAGGTGGAACCCCACGCGAAGCTGGTTTTTTCTTCTTCTTCTTTTTTCATAATGGTACATAAATAAGAGTATGAATAAAATAACAATTCCGTCACACGAGAGGTATTCATTTCAATGTCCATATATCCATCTGTATATCACCGAAACGTGATCCGACTTTGTCGGTGACGCTCGACGGCGCGCGGCGTTAAGGGTGATTCATCCCCGAAAAATCGCTCTGTCGCGCAGTCGCGCGTGATCAATGATTAAGGACGCGCCGACATAGAACCGCGTAAAAAATGCAAGACATCTCTCTCAATTTCCCACTCCGCGAGATTCTCCACGGCGCCAGTTGGGTAATGCCTGGGTGAAAAATTGCAACGGACCGGACGGGATATTTTTATTTCTTTGCCCCGCTCGTTGTTCATTGCGTGCGCGCCGATGAAACGCCGGCTATACGCGGATACGCGAGGGAATGTCTAATCGAAAGCTATAGCGCTCTCTCGTGCGTCGGAATTGCGAGTCGAATATAATTTGCGGTTAACGCCAATGCGTTCTTGTCGACAAATTAAAAATTGAAATAATGATTTACTCGAGACGACTTTAGACGACCCGTGAAAAAGAATTTGGGACGGAGTTTTTGTTTATTAATTTTATTGATCGCGAGAGATATACTATTTTTACAATTATGATTATCCATTCGAGACTCACCTGGCTTTATTAATTATAGTTATATATCAAGACGTTTCGACTATTGATTTGGGTCCTTTTCGAGTATAAATCTATAAATCACAAATTTAATAACCAAAAAGCCATGTAAATTGTAACTCGCCCTACCACAACTGACAAGGAAATCGATACTATACAATAAAATGTTTTAAAAAAGATAGAAGTTATGAAATCAGTAAATAGCCTTTTACAAACATCTCCCTGGTCATGACATCGCAAGCCGAAGCAAGTCATAAATCTAGAAGCTGAATTTAAACCGATTAGACCAAAAGATAAAGAGATCAACGTTAATATAAATTAAGAGGCTTTACATGTTTCGTATGTCGTATAATCGATAAAATAATCCGTGTAACAATAATAGCATCTCAAATTAAAAAAACAAAAGAAATTAAATACTATTCTTCTCAACATTATTTTTGCTTCACATTTACAAGAACTGTAAAATTGCGAGACATTGTGAGACATTCTGTACTCATAAACTGAGCAAGTTATAGATTCTTTCAGATGCGAGCGAAGGGGAATTTTAAATCCGATTAAAAAAGTTATAAGGATATTCTAATATATGTACACGCGTTTAGAACCCGTCAGACCGTCAGCTTCTCCATTTTCTCCGTGGCCGAATTATTACGTTGTCTTAAAAATAATCTCGTTTAGACATCGCGCTTCCATCGCCGATAATCAAATCAATCCCCAAATTAGATCTCTCAAGAACGAATCGAAAGTGGATTACTCGACAAGCAAAGACGGTCGGCGAGAGATTTTCAGCGTCGTTTATCGCGCTTAATTATGTGCCAGCCTCCAACGAAATGGATTTTATCCGGGAGTTAACGTTGTGTATTTAAATTAGACTGTCGTGTTCACCCTTTCGTTTTACGTTTAGTTAAAAGCGGAAGATTACTTCACTCTCTTCGCTCAATAATTTACTTGTACATGAATATTTTATTATTTACACAGCACAAAAGAAAATCGAGGAAAAAATTCGTTCGCGATAAGCTTCACGGTGGGGTCCAAAAGTTTCCGTCGTTCTCGTCTCGGATTGTCTAAAACCAGCGAAATGTCCCTTCCGTGAAAGCTTCACGAAACCGTGGTCGCGACTCTGTATTTTTCAGCGTTGAATAGCGCAGTTCTAGGTCAGATAAATGATAGCTCTGTCCGGGAAGGAAACGTCTGGTCGCAGTGGACGCCTTTCAGGACGAGTTTCAACAATCTCCGACAAAACAGTCGCCGAATGCACGACGATAAATTCGCCGCCTTCGGCAGAACTGACAGATAATAATTGCTCCGGCGAGAAAACGGCGAATTAAGAGGAGAACGCGGACGGGGAAAATCTCTGCCCGTAATAAGATCTCGGTTCGATTGGAAGAAACCTCTCGGCGTCGGGTCGTCGTCGGGGGATGATTTTCCCCGTCGATGCCTCTCCTCCTCCCGATTCGTCCGGGTCTCGCGGACAGCCGCGCGGCGCGGACGCGCGGCGGTCTCTCCCTCTCGCGCGGTGTCGACGCGAGGATCGCGATCGGAGGGCTGATAATGCGTGAATTGAATTACGGTATACGCATGTTGAATTATCCTCACGTAACGTAAAGCCCCATGACGTGCCGATGGTACGCCACATCCGCGCCGACGCCGCACACAACTGCAACAGAGAGAAAGAGGATCAAAAAGATTGCATCCCCCGTGCTCGTCCCGTCCGATGAATCCCTTCATCTCGGCCGGGGGCGCTATATCAATATCCCGCCGGGAATCAATCCCTTCGATCGGCATTATATTTCGCGCCGGACGAGACCTGAGTAATTTATAACAGCGGAACTGCAACACGCATGCGAATCAAATTCCGCTATAAATATGTGACATCTTTGGGTAGTGAAATCGCGTCGTGATTTTCTTTGACGTACGTTGCGCCAAATAGCATCTTACGCGGCACTCTCCTAATTTTTTTTAGGATAAATGGTCACCCGGGGTGATTTTTACAATCCAATTGAAAGTCATCGTTATTAATTACATATTGCATATTTTTAATTGTTCTATAATTTATTGGCACTTGAAGATACAGTATATGCATATAGGTTTACTCAAAATTTTCTTTAAAAAATGAGGAGAAACTAAAACATAATTTAAAAACGAAAAAAGGCATTAAAGTTACTGTGACGTGAGATTCATTTTTTCGATATTGAGGTGTAACCAGATTTACTCCAGGCGTTCGTTCTCAGCTTAAGAGATTATCCGTTTAATTCTATGACAGAGTTTTTCGATCTTCCAACTTTTTTGCGAAAATATGCTCTTTTCTCTTTCGCGTCATCCATCTGTCCTCGTCGTCGAAGAAAATACATCTGTATATTAGAAGTAAAGAATATCGTATCTGCAATATTAGAAATTGAAAAAAAAAAACAAGATTTAAAGTTTATCATTCTAAAATAAAAATCTCCAGTACTTTTTTTAAACATTGTATTTTAGGAACTATGTGATAACGGATATATAAGACCTTTTACCGTTATACAATTTAAACTCCTGGTATATTGGAAAAAAGTATTAACTTTAATGTCGACAAAAACTGGATACGATTCTTTACCTTTGAGGTGCAGACATATTTTCAGGGATATTTCGCGACACAAATTCCCCTTGCACGCGCATGCCGGTGCATTTAATTACAGGCCAGATACTCGCTCGTGTATATTCCAAACGTGAGACTGCATATATGCATTTCGAGGTTTTTTCGCCATTCGATAATACTGTTGCGACAACGAGGCGAAACGCTCGACAGCTCGCAGACTACGAAATGGGAGTGAACGAGAAAAAGCTCTATAGGCTAGGAGATATCCTGTATCCTGTATAAAACACGCGCGTAATATTCCATTAAGAAAGAAAAGAGAGAGAAATTTCCATTTGTAGAGAGAAAAAATTTATTTTTAAATACAACCTCACGGCTCGCAGTGAGGGGAATATCAATAAACGATATACCGAAAGGTAATCGGACATATACGAGAGGATACGAGTCGCCCGTGGCAAGATACCGCGAGAGTATCCCGCATTAATCTCCGCATCTCGGCGAATATAAAATTATTCTATTGTACACGTCGGGGAGAGAATTTAATGTACACGCTGTGCAAGTATCGCGTGTACACAATAGATCGACTGTGTTCCGGCTTGACAGGAAATCAATACGCAGCAGGTTCGAATAGGATTTTTTTCCTCGCGACGGATCAACTTGAGCGTCTACGAGGAGGAGGAGGAGGGAGAGGGCGGGGAAGGGGACACGGGACAAAGCCGATCATCTCGAATCGATGTAATTGCCCCCGGGAGAAATCGTGGGCTCTATGTGTCAGGAGAAATATATGGGATGATCGCTCGCGTAGGAGGAACTCATCTTCGTTCGCGATACATGAAGCTAATTACGAGCGAGATATACTTCGAAGTCACGATGACGAAAAGGGGAATTAGTTATCGATCCATGAGAGAGATGACTTCTTAATTCGATATGTCTATTTAACGGAAGAGTATAATATAGGAAATCGCTAAATAAAAAATAGCAATTAAGCGAATTCTTATTTTGAATCGAACTGAGTCGAACGGTGACAGAAATTGCTAAATAAAGAAAATCAATTATTGTTCTATTCTTGCTATTCTTAAGAAAGCTGATTTCTTAACTTAATCATCGATTTGATCGGAACGTGTGATAAGAGTCAACTGAATGCAAGACTCGGTTATCGAGCCCGTTCCTTAGCTGATTTCTCAATTCGACACCAATATTTGATCGGCACGTGTGACGGGAGCCGGCTAAACCGCCTGATACGATCGTTATAATGTCCAAGTTGTCAAACAATGGCGACAAGCGCGTGTTGATAACTAAGTGCTCTGATCTGTCTGGAAATTGTGCTCTCCATCAATCTGCCGCCGTGACGAGCCGACGAGAGGCGACTTGTCGCTCTCGACGCATTTTTTGTTTTTTTTTTTTCCAAAATATGATCCTCGAGGAGCGAGATTTCGATTTCAGTTCCACGAAAGACTAGAGTCGGAAAAAAGGATTAATGAAATCGAAATTAAAAAAATATCGGTCACTCTTTCGCGTACAAGTTTTATCGCCGCGCTCAACCGAGGTTTACATCTTCAGCCTGTCGGTGCTGAAATCTCCGGACGCAAAACACAGCCGGACTCGCACAGCAATTCCCGAAGACAGCGACGGAAGGATATCAGAGAGCAGTCCGTGAAAGGTCCTAATTGCAAATTAAAGCGGGCGCGATCAAAGGGCTTCTGAAATGAAATAACCGGGCATACGGGGGAAATAATTACGCGAGCCATTAGAGGAACTTCCGTGACACGGCGTGTCGCGAATGCAATTAACAATAACGATTTTAAGAAAGCCCTCGTCGAGCGGCGGCGTTTTCAACTTTAATGGACAAGCGTTTCAGTGCGGCAATTTTACCGATCCATATACTCGGGGAAGAATTATCCGATCGGTGAGGTCCCAGCGTCAGTCGAAATTGATTGGCATTAATATAGCCATTGATTTTGCGTTAACGAATTCATCCTTGTTAACTTCTCGAGTTTGTTCCCAAAACTTTTTCTCGATTCGAGACAAACCGTCTTGCATCGATCCCGCATCTCGTCCTTCCGCGCTAAATCGCTTCATGGTCAAAAGCCCTAAAGTTTCGCAATTATCGTCTCTCTCGGCCCGCAAACACAAACGATGTATCCCTGTAGGGGTATCCTTTCGCCAGGGAAATTCAACACAAACAGAGATGCGACCGGATGGGACGCACGCGTGTGTTTGCGAGTCGTGTTTGTGGGCCCGACGAATTTGGGGAAACGCGAGGAGCGATGTATTATTCAGAGGGCGAAGTCTCGAGCAACTTTAATAAAGGGAAAATCCGGCTGGCGACGCGCAGCTGGGATACTCGGCTGTCGCCGGCAAGGAAATATTTGCGGAAAATTTTACACTCCTTATCCGGCTTCCGCGGCGCGGCGGCGTCGTCGCTGTGTATTCCTGTTTATGTATTTATGAGCTCGATGTCGCGCCGGAAGAAACGGAATTCTAATGCGGAATAAGCACCGATGATTATTTTTGCCGCAACCCTTGGGAAGATGATGGAGAAAACGAGGAGAAATAACATGTTCATTAAACATAAAAAGCTCGCTATTCGATTACTTTACTCGCGCTTTTTCAATTTCCATTTTTTTTTTGCGTGGCTTTAATCCGGGAACGGACGCCTGGCAGTGAGTTTTACACTCCAGTATCGAAAAAATGAAGCTCACGTCACAGTAAATTTAATGTGATTTTTTTCGTTTTTTAAATATTTTTTTTAGTTTCTCCTTACTTTTCTCAGAAAATGTTGAGTAAATCTATATCTGTACTTTAGAGATAAAGAATCGTATCTCTGTATAGTTTTTGTCGAAATGGAATTAATTTATTTTTTCTATTATACCAGGAGCTTAAATTGTGTAATGATAAAGAGTCTTTGTATCCATTATTACTACTTCTTAAGACACAATGTTTAGAAAAAGTCGTATTAGAAATTTTCATAGAAATAATAAACTTTAAACCCTGTTTTCTTTAAATTTATGATAACGAAAATGCGATTCTTCACCTCTAAGGTACAGATATTGTCCGTAAACCCTAATAAATTATAGACAATAAAAAAATATGCGATATATAATAATCAATAACAATAAGTTTTTTAATTGGGGTGTAAAAATCCGTTGCCGTATTAATTTCCATTTAACTCGACTTTTTGAACAAAAAAGAAGTGAGCACTCGAAAATTCTGTGGAGTCTACGTTTATAAATTTTTGAACCTAAAGTGATGTACGGTCTTCGACGAGCGTTCCGGAAGCTCGCGGGGATTCCGGATGCGAATCCCGTGTTCGCCGGCAGGACATTGTCGGACGGTGGTTCTGCGACTGGCACATGAATTGACCACCTGCGGTCACGCTGGTTTCGCGTCGCGAGTGAATTTCCGGGGCCGCATTGTCCTCCAAGATGTTCCATCGGGATATCCATTATCCTCCCGCGGACAAGAGGTCGCCAATCATTTTTCTCGATCGAAAATCAGATTTCCGCAGGAGAGCGCAGGATATTTTCCAATACGCGAGCGAGCTAATAGACGTACCGTCGTACGCTACTGCAATGATTAACTTAATTGAGCAATCTAGGTCGTTCAATTACGACAAGGTAGAATGGTAAAAATAACATTTTATAACATCAAATTGCCCAGCACCGCGAAATAGAAACTCAAACCTAAAGAAAGTTGCACAGTAGCGACAAAATGTCGATGAATCCAGGAGGCACCAGACGTGAAGGGGTGAAGGAAAAAGGCAAAAGTCTCCCTAAGGATAAATAGTGGCCTGATATAGGTCGTTCTTTCTTCCTTAATTTCTTCTTCCGTCGCGGAAACGAAGACAGATTGGCGCGATCGGATTCCTATTTCGCGATCGCGCGGGGTCTCCCCTGCGTCTTCCTCTTTATCCTTTTTTTTATGTCTCGCACTATCTCCCCCCCCCCTCTCATCCCCTTCGTCCCGGCTTCGTCCCGATTGCGCGACGAGTCCGCGCGCGGCCAGCGAGCGGGGAAATCCGAAATTTCTGATCCCGAGTTCAATTAGAGGCGCGGTGCCGAGGCCTTCCGGTGATGCGTCCCGGCAATGCAATTAGCCGCGGACGCCACTCGTGTCGTCGAGGGTGTCTCAACGGTCTCATCAGAACAGGGGCGAAAGTGCGCGATAATTAAGACGCCAGACGGC